AAAAAAAATGCAGGCTCAGAATCAGCAGGTCTGGGGTGGATTTTAAGCAAACTCTGAGGTGATGCCTATTCTGCAGGTCCCAGAAATGGAGGAGGGAGAAAGCTGGGGCATCTATGTAGGTATGAGCTCTGACTGGGAAGGCCTCTTTGCTTTCAGGCAGGGCTGACTGACCACAGACTGTCCTCTTGCTTTATCAAATTCCCAAAGGAAAAGCTCCTTCTCTGCCTTAGAGGCATTTACTTCTTACTCAGACCTTCTTGCTCATACAAATATCCACAGGCTTGAAGACTTCTCTCAAGCTTTAGATTTTTCTTTCAGCCAAAGGTCCCCCAGTTACATGAATGGACACACTGCTGTACGTAACTTGATGAGACTGTTACAGGATGCAGGCTTCCAGGCACCACCCTGTGGTTTCTGATTCTACTGCTCTGTTTTTTGTTGTTGTTGTTGTTTTAAGCACACCCGCTGGATGTGGTCCGACGTGCACCAGGTTTGGGACCCTCTGCTTATGGCCCCAACAGCTTCCACCTCATACCAGGCGTTTCCATTCATGCAGCCTGTGGACAAGCATCTTCCCTCACACACGGGAAAGAAGCCTGCGTCCCAGCTCCCAAAACAGACCGATGGCTGTCCCAGAGCCTCCCAATCAGGACCCGGACGTGGATGAATGTGGGGCAGAAGTGAGCGCTCCTCTGAATTAAGCTGGTACTTTTTGTCTTCTAGGAGGTCACGAATGATAACAGAGAGGTCCCAACTGGGACACATCAGCAAAGGATATCCCTGTAATGAACAGGTTGGCTGACAGCAAGGGCATTGCTAACTCTCCTGTGTGACTTTGGCCACAGTTTTGTTCTTTGCGGTTCAGTAGCTTGTCTCAAAACGAGCCAAAAGTGAATCTTGCCGACCACAGAAATAAGCAAGTTCACACACAGTGGCCGTCAGATAAATTCTTTCAAAAATCGAACTAAACGGAGTCCAACTCACTCTCGACATGGAGCTGGGTCTGAAAACAAACCACGAACCTCTTCAGAGGTAGGAAGTCATTTCGAAACCCCACATTTGCTAGGATCTCATGAGATTCTGCACCTTTGAGGGGCAGAAAGGAATTTGAGGAGGAAGAAGGCAGGGTCTGCCTTTGTTTCAATGAGGGACGTCTGCTGGGTAAGTGCGGGATCCCTGAGGGGAATTTGTAGGGGGAGAGGATAGCATGAGCACCTGTCACTGGGGCCCTCGCAAAGGCCACGAGCTGCTGAGAATGTCTCCTGGTTTGAGTGTTTTGGGAAACTATTTGCAAAGCTAGCTGCTGGCGACAGTGGTGTGGTCGGCGAAACTATTAAAAGCTGGAAAGCAGTCAAAAATAGCTGCTGGATCTTGAAGATCCCAAGGCCTTATTCCCCAGTGAAGGAGGCTGGAAGCTCTGGGGGTCCCCGGGGCTGCTGTGGGAAACACAGAGGTGAGGGGAGTGGACGGGACGTGGCAGAGCCCACAGTCCTTTGCAAGCAGCCTTTCTCAACCCACTTCTCTGAAAGATGTCAGCTTCACAGACACTTTTGGGCAGCTATTTTGTCCATTCTTCCAAGGATGGTACCTAACTAGGACTGCGATGCATTGGAGTAAAGTCGATTCCCGACGAGCCTGATGGAGAAGGCTACAGGCGTCCAGATTCTGGGCTGAAGGTGAGATCCTGGCAAAAAGCACCCAGGAAAGGTAAATCCTGGCTCCCTCCTGGTGCTAGGGCATAAGTCATCTCAGCTGCAGAGGCTGGAAAGGGGAGAAGAACCGCGAGCACCAGGGAGTGTGCAATTGAGTTAAAAGTTACAAGAAAGAACCTTTGCCGCCAAGGGCCAAAGAGGAAGCAATGGGCATCGGGCACAAATTCTGGTTTTCTGTTTATTTAACTCCGAGCAGATCTGCCCATCAGCACATGTGTATGTGTGTGTGTGTGTGCACACAAGAGCACACAAACGCACACACGCATACAGAGTCCCAGCACTTAAGGCAAATTGGCCACAGGCCAAGAGAGCAATCCCAGACCCTATAGCCTGCCTCGCACTGTGTCCTCCGGAAAACCAGCTCCACACACAGACTGGAACTGTCTGGCTCCTGCAGGCTCCGTGTCCAGGAAATCCTGCCGAGCTCCCTAATCCAGGCAGGTTACTATTACATGCTGAGGCGGCAAGGCACCCCACTCCCAAGGAACCACCTAATGAAAGCCTCATGTGTCAACTTCAGTTGCACAGACACACTCAGGCTAAATCCCTCATGCCAAAGGGATGACCTCACCGTCGGGCAAACTGGCAGGGACCCCAGAAAGAGAAGGTCGGTGTGTGGGCCAGACCTGCTCCTAATCACAGCCAGCTGGGGTGGACAGAGGCACTGCTCCATCTCCTGCTGTCCCCCGGACACCAGGGTCTATGAGCCCGGAGGCACCATCAGCCTACAGCTAAGAACCCCAAGCTCCAGCCCAAACACCCCATTTTTTGAGCAGTATCCCAAAAAAAGTGTCTGCCATTCCACAAGTTTCATGCCAAAGAATAGCTTAATTCAGTAAGGCCGAATCTCTGTGGAGAACCCCCAGTTACAGAAGCTAGAAAGGAAGGATATAATTAGGACCTTTTTTTTTTTTTTTTAACAGAAGCTCAAAAGGCCCATTAAGCAAAGGACATGAGACACAGTCCATCCATAACCGGAATGCAGTACCCCAGAAATCCCACTTACCAGCCTCATTCACAGAACTCTTAAAGACACACATTTCAGCCTCAGACTGGGCATCTTTCACTTAGCTCTTTAACACTCAGGCAATTAATAAACTGGTGGAGCAATTCCTTCTACGTACATCACTGTTCTGTCTTCATGTTGCTGCATTAAATCTTTTGTAAGCAACAAAACAAAACCTCAAAGAAGCTGTGCTTCAAAAGTAAAGAAAGGTGTTTTGACCTGATTTCATCACCATGAAGCAGCTGATGACCTCAGCTTTTTTTTTTTTTTTTTTTAAACCTGAGCTTTTGTTAAAGGGATGAATAGAAGTTCTCTACAAGAAAACCGCTTAGTCCTTTTAAGTTCTGGTAAGTTCTGCCTTTGGCATTGGTAGCTGAGTATGCAAGTTGTAAATAAATGGGCAGAATTTTGGAAGCTCTTAAACTGAATCCCATATGGAGCTCTGCCCGAGTCCCAATGGGTCCCTTGCACACCCGGGACACACAAGAACCCCTGGGCCTCCAAGACCTCATGGACTCAGGGAGGATTTGCAACAATGTAAAAACTCCCTGTGAGCTGAGACCCAACAAGTGAATTCGCAAAGAAGTCGGACGGACTTACGCAAAGAAGTCAGATGGACTTTGATGAAGACCCTTCAGAGGAGTAACTCGCCCACAATAGGGCTGGCTCGTTTTTATTAAATGTTGCTAATTCCACTTTTGCTTGTAGTCCATTCGACTAGGTTTTGTTATAAGGAGTTGTGGGCAGAGAATCAAAAGCACAGAATCTTCGTTCCAAAAACGGAAGTGTAGCTTAAGATTTCTATCATTTTAAGGAGGAAACTTTTTCTGGAAATGTATCTCCGAAATGATGATGGGGGTCAATGGAAAACAGATTTTGCTATATGATATGCGCTTTGCTCCAGCTTTTCAGAAATATCTAAAGCAAGCAGCTAAATATAAAGCAAGGTCAAATCAGTCCTGCAAAGACATGGTGAGTCACAATCAATCAGAGTTGTAAGGACAAGGCTGGGCTGCTTATACCACTGAACACCCCTGATGAAACATCCCTTCCCTGAACCAGAAAATAAATGTCCACAGCTGCACTTGGTGGCTGGTGCTGAAGTTCGTTCACCATATGGTCACCCTTATTATCATCCTTCCAGCAATTCCAGCAAGCTAACAGGAGAGAGCTGGTTCTTCCAATCAGCTGCAGGCCAAGCAAACATCTCCCTACCATGGTCTTTTCCTCCAAGGGACTTCCTGACCCCATGCTCTTCTTCCTGCTTTTTCCTTGTATACTTCATGCTCTACGTGAGAGTCCCAATGCCCACCACTCTGGACCCCCCTTAGGCCTGGGATTGAGCTGCTTTTCAGAAGGGGGTGTGTGTGTGTTGAAAAAAAAAAAAAAAGAAGAAGAAGAAGAAGGCTTTTTCTTGGACCTTCAGCCAAGGCAGAATCTAAATGTCAGGAGGGTCACAACTGGTTTGGGATAGCCTCAGGGTTTTGGAACAGGAAAGAACCTTAAAGATGTCACGTGTCACTTTTTAGAACTTTTAAAATACAGTGAAACCCTTTTTCCCAGGGAGGCTGTATATAGAAACCCAGTAAGTGAAACAGAGAGAAAAGAAACTGTTATTATACCCATACAATGGCATATGATTTGGCCATAAAAAAAAAAGTACAAATACATGCTATAATGTGGGTAAACCTTGCAAACATTATGCTAGGTAAAAGCAGCCAGTCACAAAGGACCACACATTATAGGATTCCATCTTATATGAAATGTCCAGAGAGAGGCAAATCCAAAGAAACAGAAAGTAGATTAGTGGTTGCCTAGGGCTTGGGGGAGAGAGGGACACGAGGTGGCAGCTGAAAGGTCGCGTTTCTTTTTGGAGTGGTGACAATGCTCTAAAATTGATTACAGCATGGTTACCCCAATCTGTGAATCCACTAAACGCCACTGAATCACACCGTTTAAATGGGTGAGTTTTATGGCATGTGCACTCTATCTCTGTAAAGCTATTGAAACAGGGAGGGAGGAGAGGTGGAAAGATCTGTGATGGCTGTTCCAGCAGCCAGGCCGCCTCCCTCACCCTGTTCCCTCCGGTGGCCCCAGAACCACCTTTGCAGGCCGCAGGGACTGCACGGAGTGTTGTTGGAACACCCTTGATCTAGCCCTCAAATGTAAACCAAGACATGACCCCAAGCCTTTTGACCCCAAGTGCAAGGCCCTTTAAAGCCAAGTTCTCACTGATGAGCCGGGGCTCATCCTGGGGGACACGCTGTGCGCCCGGGGCTCACCGTCCATGTCCAGGCGCTGCATGATGATGGCCAGCTCCACCTCACTCGGCATGTACCCCAAAGAACGCATGGCCATTCCTAGCTCCTGCTTGGAGATGAAGCCATTCCCATCTCGGTCCAGAACCCGAAAGGCCTCTCGGATCTCTACAAGGGGAAAGCAAACAAAGTCCGATGGTCACATGGCTTGGTCTGTTGCATTGAAATTACCAGTGATCCTCTACTGAACACTCCTAACGGCCTTACAAATACTAATATGTCAGAACCCTTTAATCAGATAAAAGAGCGGCCAAAAGAGGGACAAAAGGAAGAAAGGGGAATGAAAAACAAGGAAAGGAAGAGAAGGGGAAAAGGAAAAAAGAAAACCAGCCCCAAGCATCCTTAAAACACCACGGTCGCCGCACAATTCGACAGTGCTCCCAGTGGAGATGTGTTCGCTGAAGACACTTCCTGGGCAGGAACGAGCAGGTTAGGTTTCAGCCTTGAGGACAGCGCTGCCTCTTAACCTGGGCTCTTCGTTTGCGGGAAACAAGAACGAGATTCCCCTCCGCAGGCTCGTGTGTCAGCCCCCTGCAGCAGGTGGAGCTGTACAGAAGGCTTTTTTTTAACCCCGTAGGAAGACAGGAGTTACTATCCTGCTGTTTTTATTTCATCCTCTAATTTACAGCTATTTTACAGCTATAAACAACCTCAGATCGATAAGAGTGTCATAAAAGCCCAAAAAAGGCATCTTTAATCACATTCTCTTCGAAAAAAGGCATCTTTAATCACATTCTCTCCGGGCCAGCAGAGGGTCTGATATCAATAAGGCCATCCCACTCGGCAGGTGATCGCCCATCCTCTGACCCCAGCCTGAGTTGTTCTGCCTTCGGCCCAGAACCCCTCCCTCCAGAGCCCGCGTGGCCTGTCGGTCCTGGGTTGGCTGAGCATTAACACATCACACTGCCACGAGGCGTGGCGTGGAGAATTCGAGATCAGAGTCTGAAAATGACAGGTTCATCAGTGGTGTCTGGGCACCAGACTTGGCTAGCTTTGACTTTTCATCGATAAACCCAGCGCAAGCAGGTATGGTCACTGCCAACATTCACCACGCTGTTCAGCAAGAATTGGCTGTCCAGGACGCCTGGGTGGCTCAGTCGGTCAAGCAGCTGCCTTTGGCTCAGGTCATGACCCCAGGGTCCTGGGATCGAGCCCCACATCGGGCTCCTTGCTCAGCAGGAAGCCTGCTTCTTCCTCTCTCTCCCTCTGCTTGTGTTCCCTCTTTCAAATAAATAAAATCTTAAAAAAAAAAAAAAAAAAAGAATTGGCTGTCCGTACCTGAGGAGCATGGAAGTAAGTACGTCAGAGAACCAACAACATGTTACCCAGGGGCACCACCGTTCTCCAGAGTCCTACACTCCAGTTAGGAAGGAAAGACTCATGCGGAAACTGACAGAAACTCTTGAAACGAACCCAAGACACTGGCCCTAACCCGTTTACCTACTGCTTCTTGAAATAGCTGACTATGCTCCATGACAACACCTGGAACCACACCCTTACCCAAACAAGCTCTGGCCCCTTCCCATTTGTACGAATTTCCTGGGGCTGCTGTAACAAATCACTACAAACGTTGTGGCTAAAAACAACAGAAATTTCTTTTTTTTTTTAAGATGTTATTTATTTATTTGATGGAGAGAGAGAGAGAAAGAGTGCAAGCAGGGGGAGCAGCAGAGGGAGAGGGAGAAGCAGACCCCCTGTGGAGCAGGGAGCCCGACATGGGGCTCGATCCCAGGACCCTGGGATCATGACCTGAGCCCAAGGCAGACACATAACCAACTGAGCCACCCAGGTGCCCAACAACAGAAATTTCTTCTCTCACAATCTGGAAGCCGAGGTACGAAATCAGGATCACTGGACCAAAATCAAGGTGGGGACAGGGCTGTGCTCTCCTAGGGCAGAATCTGTCCCTTGCCTCTTCCAGCTTTGGGTGGCTGGCTGCCGACATTCCTTAGTTTGTGGCCAGGTCCCTCCAATCTCTGCCTCCATGGCCACATCGCCTTTTCCTCTTTTTTTTTTTTTTAAATAAAGATTTTATTTATTTGATAGAGAGAGAGCACAAGCAGGGGGAGCGGCAGGCAGAGGGAGAGGGAGAAGCAGGCTTCCCACCGAGCAAGGAGCCCGATGCGGGGCTCGATCCCAGGACCCTGGGATCAGGACCCAAGCTGAAGGCAGACGCCTAACCGACTGAGCCACCCAGGCGCTGCCCTTTTCCTCTTCTGTCTGTGATCTTCCTCTGCCTTCCACTTCTAAGGACACTTGTGATGGCATTTAGGACCCACCCAGATAACCCAGGATAAGCTCTCCATCTCAAGACCCTCAACTTAACATCTGCAAAAGCCTTTTTTTTTTTTTCCAAGGAAATATTTACAGGTTCCAAGGTTGAGGACCTGATTCCTCTGGGGCCCGATTTTCAGACTGCTGCCCTCTCCCACCCCAGGATTTCCACCTGGAATGCCTTGCCTTCCTCTTTAGCTGCCCAAATCCTGTCGGTCCTTCAAGGCTGAGTCAGGAACCATGGGTTCCACAAAAATGTCTTTGCCCACCATGGCCAACGTTCTCTCCCTTTCTGCTCCTGTTCAGTGGTTCATTCGTTCCTTTCTCATGATGTCAGCCCATCCCATCTAAAGATACGATGGTTGGGGCAGAAATCATGCATCTCTTGTATGTATCTTGCGTGTATCAGAAATCATCTCTTCATACACTTCATTCATCTTTGTATTCCCACCGACACCTTGAAGGAGGCATTACACAGACTGCAAATTCACTATTAATACTAATTCTGCACGTTCAGTGCTTTCTGAGAATAAGTGTGGGCTCCAGCAGACAGAAGACCAGCCTGTGAGCCGGGACCTTAGGCTCCTGGCCAGGCGCATTAGCTAATTAGGTCTGCAGCCAAACCCTGAGGCCTCAGATTGTTCATGTGTAAAATGAGCTGCGCTGGCCACGAGGATCCCTAAGGTCCTTCCAGACCTTTTCTGGGGATCTGTGGACATTGTTAACGTATTTAAGAGAAGAACAGGAAGCCTGTGTTCTCTTTCATACCCTATTAATCTACTGTTCAAACACCCCTCTTTTTTCCATTGAGGATAAAGAAAAAATTTCAGTCTGGTCCAAATTCTGAATCAAGGGGTTTGTCTGCACTTTTAGGCTTTTCTCGCCCATGAAACTTGCCCAAGATTCCCTCAGGCAGACATATGTTTTCCTACCAAATCCCAGGTGGCCCGGAAAGAGCTTAGAGTCACTGCTCAGCATGAGGTCATGGCACACAACACTCAAGGACAGCGGGGCGGAGACCACGGCCTCATGTGGCCTGAGCCCAGATGCCGAGAGCAGGAGGATGCAGATGCGGGGTCTCCCAAGGTGGGAGTCAGCCCACAAGGAGGTCAGTCCGGCCCTGCCCTACACCCGGGGCAGGCTTCTCCCTCAGTCTCGATTGCCCCATCTGAAAAATGGGTTGGGTTGGCTCTCCGTCTAGCCTCTCTAATGGGGCTCTACTTCAGAGCTGGCATGAACCATGCAATAGTAGGAAATGTCAGATGATGACAGGGGCCTGGCCTGGAGTCAAAGAAGAGGCCAGGGTCTTAGGTGGGCCACCTGGATTGCCGGCTGCACGCTGAGCTCGGCCCCTTGTTCTCCTTTCCCGAGGCACATCTCTACTCGCCATCCCTCTGACTCAATCCTGAGCTCCCTGGCTGTTTCGATCACTCTGACAGGGCAATCCCCTTCTGTTGACAGGGTGACAGGGTCTGGCCTCATTCCTGTGATTCCCCTGCATATGCCCTAGATCTCACAAATGAACAAGGCTGTATCCTTACACTGGACACCCCAGAGAGGCCTGAGCCGACAATGTGTGTGAACTTGGCCTAGAAATAAAGGCCTTGATGGGTGTGCCTCCCGACCCCCACCTCACTGCCCGGGCTACTCCTAGAGCCACCTCACCCTTGGGCTGCAGGAGTCAGATGGAGGCCACCGCAGAGCTGACCTGCTGGGAAGGGACGTGATCCCTCGAGGCCTCACACCCCCATAGTTTGCCATCTGCTGTAAGTAAGCAGGCCAGCCCTGCTCCAGCCCAAGACAGCGCAGCGCAGGTACAAACCAGCTCAGAGTTCTGTTTTCTGCGGCCCCCAGGTAAGTGGGACAAAGCTGCACTTCTCTGTTTGCCCAGAATTTCTGCTCCTGGCTCCCAAATAGAGAGAGAGAGAGAGAGAGAGAGAGAGAGAGAGAGAGAGAGAGTGTGTGTGTGTGTGTGTGTGTGTGTGTGTGTGCAGACAAAGCTCACTAACTTCATTTTCTTTCAAAATAACAGAGAGGGGGGAAAAAAAGTACAAAACTAGAAATCCATAATGGGAGCCTCTGGAGATTTAATCTTTCCAGGGTAGGGAAAGCCCAGGCAAATGAGAAGCTTATTAGAAGGAAATGGGTCTTGCAGCCGGAGACATGTGATGTGTGCCTTGTTTTATTTTTATTTTTAATAGCAGAACAGGGTGTGAGAAATATGCCCATAAAACTAGCGAGACACAGAAGCAGGCCGGACCCCCCTGCCTATGGCTACAGGCAGCCTGCTGGCACACGGAGGGGCCCTGGCCACTCTCCACATCCTTGGGAAGTGAGGACCACAGATCAGGTTTCAGGAACAACCCCGTAATGCGGTGTGCTTTTTGCTGGAATTTATCCCCTCTCTGGGCTAAAGCCCCTGGTGCTTCAGAGTTACATAAGCGTGCTGTGCTTTTGGTCTTTAAGTCAGTTTTATGGTCATATCAGACACCGGCATGGCAATTCACCCACCGGCAAGAGGCCTTTGCAGGTTCCAGAAGGGGCCATGGTGATGGCGATGAGAGCCCGGCCAACCACCATTTTGTGGACTATGAAAGGAAGCGTCATACAACACACCTTCTGGCAAAAGGAATCTGCTCTCTGCATAGGGAATCTCCCAGAACAAAGTCTGCATTCCCACAGGGGAATGCACCTCTCCGCCCTGATATTCTGGAGCCAAGCAAGGTCTGGACTAGAAATCAATCTGCTCCAGAGCCCAAGAGATTTACTTCTCGTTACACCAGCAAGTGTGTCTTCTCAAAACCATCAGATCACCACTGGTAACACCTGCATCC